GGAGAACGCTCCACGTATCGTTGCCCTCAGGATTTCCACCCTCGAGCTGCGAATCCAAAGCAAACCGACGGACGACGGTCTCTTTGAACTCGGACGATCCCTTTAAACCGGTACATTACGAGAGTAAACCTCGCGCAAGGCCAATTTAAGCGGACAATTTTCGAAGGTGGAACGAAGTTATTTTCGGGGGCGACACTACCGTGAGTAGATGTGTAAACGATTTAGGAGTTATATTCTATACATATCGACACGTTGGATGTCAGACTGAAACTCGAGAAAATTTCTACCAAGTTAAAATTGTGTTTCGACGATATTGAAGATTAGATAATTTAACATTTGTCGTAGTATTTAATTTTTTAACCTATTTCATTCACAAATCTTATCCGAATTTTATTTTCATCGTCGTCTCACTTTTGGAATTAATTTACTTAATTCCTTAATGAAGAGTTCTGTCATTTCTGGGTGACGTCGACGGTTAAATCTAAAAACGTAAACATTCGTTAAATAATAACATGAATATCCCGTTAAAGAATTAACGCAAATAGTCATTAACTTTAACATAATTGTTACGTTAGCTATATAATATTAAATAATATGTGTGAAACGTATACAAATTAAATGTTGCGAATAATACGTGACATGTTTTTCATATTTAATTAACGCAGATAATGTGTAATAAATTCACGACTCGATATACCTAAATTCTGAGAATTTAATCAACGGTTATTTTGTATCAATTTTCAGATAACATTAATAACATTAAAAAATTATCTAGTCTCTAGTGGTTATCTTCAATCTATAATTGTTCCTATTCGAAACCAATCAGAATCTTCTCTGAATTTCTTACTTCCTATTTCTCAATCTCCATTTTTACCAAAAATCTTTGAAAAACTATGCTCTAATTAATTAAATCTCTTTCGATCGTACAAATTCTGTTTGCAAATTTCAATCTGCTTTCAAACGTAGAGTCAATTTAGTGGAACAGAAAGAAATCTACTTTGACGGCAATGGTGGCGCCCTCTCGCGGAAACTTCCCCAATTGAATCGTAATACGACCAATCTTCTTTACCAACTATTGGTATTGCTACGTTATTAACATGACATGATTAAAATTGCAAAAACATTTTTTTAGTTAAAAGACTTCAAACTTACCCGTGTATTAAAATATATCCTTGAACGTCACTGATACTTATGTCCAAAGATTGGTTTATTTATTTAATTATTTAATGCCCTGAGCAAACAACTTATTATAAAATTTAATAGCAAGGAAATAATTATTTCTATTTTTAGTATAAAAAATAGAAACTAAAACCATGAGAGGCAAGTAGCCTGTACAATAATGAACGAAGTTTAAACAGGAATATAATACATAAAATTGAACTAAAGCATATGAAAGGACTACTTATAAACAAGTTAATTAAAGCAAGTGTCTTCCTTTTAATGCTTCCCTTGTTTTACATACATACATAATGAAAACAAATATTTTCCAGTAATTACACATTGAAGAACTGTATTTTTATATTTGTAATATGTTTGGTTTCAAACAAGAAAAATACCTTCAACTAATTTAAATAATTCAAAAGTGAATAAAAGAAATGAAAATCTGATATTGAAACAAACATGTCCACATTTCAAATTATTTAACAGAACTCTCCTATCTTTATATAAATTTGAAGAACCATATGTAAGCGAGTTATTTGCATATTTAATATTACTAATATTCACAGTTTGTTTATATACACATCCACATCTAATTATCTTGGATACACATTTACACATATTCCCATATCTTTCACATCACTGGAGAGCATTTGTTATGACACTATGAAGTAGATTCAACAACAGCTTCGGCTGAACTGATCCTCCCTGCTTTGCTTTCTATGAAGACCAGCTACGCCAGGGTATACCCAGTACATCCCCAACCAATCGTAGAGAAGTATCAGTCCGTCCCTACAGCTATGTTCTCTGTCACAAATGTTGGACAGAGACAAGTGCTTTTATAAAACAGACTGTGACAGCTATGAGACCGAGCATGCTCCATTGGAATATTCTAAATCCCATACTAAAGGGGTGTGCCCTACCGATCCTAACTGGAAAGAAGGGAAGGGAGTGTATCTTCCAACAGCAGCGCAGGAAAGGGACGATAGGTTTTGTAAAAGAGATGGAGATGATAGAAAGACGGAGCATGCTCCGTTAGGATACTCTAAAGCCCACATTCAAAGGGGTGTGCCCTACGAATTCTAGATGTATACAAGAAAAAGAATTGACCATAATGCAACCATACTCCAAAGAGTACACTTCCATCTTCATTTGTGGAAACTTGTTATAGTTTTCTTAAAAATATATGATTATATTTTGATATAATCTCACAACATTGTGAATTTTTTATTATACAAATAAGTTTTAACAGACATAAAGAATTTTAAATGATATGGTCAATACTTTCCCAGCTGCAACACCCTTTTTTAACAGCTACCCCTTTTTTGGGGATCAAAGGGGTGATTGGTACCCCTTTCAAAGGGGTTAAAAAAAAAAGGGACCAAAGGGTGACTTAATGTAGTAGAAAAGATTTATGTGCTGAGTGAGGTTCTAGCTACACAGTACATATGGCGTAAAAATGACGAATGTTTGATATAAACTGCAATAGTTTAACCTTTACAGATAATACAATCTAAAAAACATTATTTCTATATATATGTCCACATTGCACCTAAGAAATTATGAATCTATACAAAAATAAATATCTCCTAAAGTGATGTTCATTGAAAATAAAATGTAATATTTCTCATTTTTCAATTCAAAGAAATAAAACATACAAAGATAACCTCGCACTAGATAAAAGTAAAACCTAACCTCAAAAATTTAAATTGCTGAAGAATTTAATAAGATACCATTACTTTACATACTAGTACCACATATTGCTGTATATCATTCGTAAATCTAAATCATCTAATATTCATTTGTACCATACCTCAAAGAAATTCATTATGTTCACAAATTCATATTGTTTATCTACATACAACGTACCGTCCAATTGTTTACATCGCGTACCTCACAAAATGAAAATGAATAACAAGCTTATGAAACGATATTTTCAATCTTGCATATTCTTTTTCAAAATAATGCAAAACTTTTATCATTGATATAATAAACAAAAGAGGTTTTCTATATATCAACTCGATTAGTTTTGTACACAGCCAATCGCGGCGTGCAAGTCGCCTAAATTGTGTAATTTCCAACGTTATCAACTCAGATTGGAATAAAACATCAACGCCATTGGCGGTGAAAATTTAAACTAAATATGCCAAAGAACAATTGAAATCTGTATCCAACTTATCCGCGGAAATCAAACACAAAATTAAGTATTTGCTCTTATGATACGATAGATAGAACGACTGATAAGAATGAATGATAAACAACACGTACGATACATTGTACGAGAAAGATCACAGTCGATTAGCTTATAATATTTGCCATGTAATTAGTAATTGCATTACGAATGATGTAATTTGTAATTACATAGTAAATATCTGCAAGCATCATGCTGCATTTTGTTGCATTACTTTTTTAAATGGGAATGCATTTTTTTTTTATATAGGCTAACTCCCTTTGTTAATTCCCTACGTAAAAAAGTATTAAGGTAAATTAAACCTAACCTAATTAAAATTAGGATAAAATAAGCAGAACCCGCCAGTTAGTCTGCAATTCTGATTGCTAACTATTAGGGGCATCTTCCCCGCCCCTGCAAACAGGCAACCTTAACTACAGATCTGCTGGCGGGTTGCGTTGAATCTATTGAAAATTCAAAACTTTCTTGAGTAACCGTTCTTAAACAAAGAGTGCGCTTCAAGACTATTCTATATTAGCGATGTCGGAAAAACAGTTTGCGAGATACAAATTTTCGTTGTATCATGGATCTATTCTATATCTCGTCTATGATACTACATGATGTTGATTCCAAGTCATTCAATGTGGTTTAATGTGTGCAATTATGAATTGTCTGCTAGTAAACATTGAAGACATGCAAATTAACTGACATAATATTGCTAAAAAAATGACGCTATATCATTTTGGAAATTGTTTAGCACTGGTTTATGTTCCATATTACCTTACCTACAAGTATTCAGGCTTGTATGTACAATTTCTATCTAACCTAATTCTAGTTGCCATTTATACTCCTTACCAAACTTATTTTCATTTTATAGTCTTTGCATCGAATATTTCGTAATATTGTAAATACAGAATGCTAAAAATAATCTGAATTTTCAAGTATTTGTAATGTGAATGTAATTTTTTCAAAATTTAATACAAATTTTCAGATCTGAATACGGTGCATTCTGGAAATGTATTCAAGCTGGGGGTATTTATATCTTTACACAACTGGTGAAAATGCTGGCGCTTGCTACTTTTTTTCCTACAGCTGATAGTGTTGGAGAAGAAGACTTTGATATAGTAGGCGTATGTATACTTGTAGATATTTCTATTTGTTATAATAAAAGTATTATTACTATATTAATGTAAAACAATACTTTTTAGGAATTTTTGAAAACTTCCATAGATTTAGCAGATTTAGTAGGAATATTATTAGTTTTAAATGGTATACCTGGTAAAGGACATGCAAAAGTTTTAACTGCTGGAATCGGATGGGCAGGAGCCGAAGTACTTCTCACTAGATTTCTTCTATTATGGGTAGGAGCAAGGGGTGCAGAATTTGATTGGAAATACATTCAAAAGAGTCTTGAATCTAATATTAATTTAGTAAGTAACATGATGTATATTACATAACAAAATTTTATATTTTAAATATTTAATTTTCAATATGTTCAGGTACAACATATAACCACAGCAGCACTTGTGTGGTTATGGTCGCGACACGATTTGAAACGAGGATTAGTTCCTGTAGTAATTGGCATGCTTGTGCTTACTGTTTATAGACCGCTCATCTTAGATTTTTTCACAATGCTTTTTCTAACTGGCCCATGTGCAACACTTATTGTTAAAGCTATTACTACTTTTATCATGGGCGCTACAACGTTACACATATATGCGGGCCTTGCTCATTCAATCGGTATCTTTTGAAGAATATTAAAAGTATTATTGAAAACATTAATACTTTCATTGTATGTCTTTTTTATTCCATGCTACAACATTAACATATGCATTACAAAATAAATCTGTTGTAGTTATAACTCGCATTATTATTTTAATCCTCACCTGACAATACTTGTTCCCAATACTCTATCTTGATGCTTGATCTAGGTACACATAAAATATAAAATAAAGAATTTAATATAACACAGATATTTACAGTTATTTCGACATGCATCATTTTAATTACACACGTTATTTGGTAAGTACTGGTAAACATCTCTGGCTAGAACAGTGTATCACAATAAATCAATGATTTTCATTGTATTTATCATAATACTTACGAAATTCGTACCTAACCCTTAATAACGACATTGCACATAAATAATAAATTAGAGCTTTTTATTTAAACTTGATACTCTAATTTATTAACTACTAATACATATTTATAATATTTATTCTACATAAGTATTGAAATACTCAAACCTCTAGTAAACTTGAGTAAATGATCGAAAACACGTGGAATAGTGAACTACTTCTTCCATGAGTTTGTATAATACTGTGCTGTACTGTATTGATACTATGTATCTGCATTATTTTCAATTATTTTAAAGATTATAACGTCGTGTAACTGAAAACAAAATTGGAAACACTAAATTATTATCTGGATTTCCATAAAATCTATCGTTTATTCTTTAAATGCACGTTAGAAAACCATATTTCACAAATTTACAATAATCGTTTACGATGTTATGCTATACTTATTTTCATATAAAACAATAAATGACTAGAGCTCAGAGCTTTTTTCACAAAAGCGTTATAAATAAGAGGAAATGAATTTCACTGTTAGTACAAATATTCGATTAATTTTGAAGGTATTTAACTGAAATGCCAATTGGCGTGCACTATGACGATTATGCCGATTGTGCGTTTATGTAGGTTATTCTGTTAAAACCAAAGACTTAAAAAAATGGCAAAAATATTGAAATTTTTTCAAACTATAAGAAATAATTGGAAGAAATCCCTCGTGGGAACTGCAGCCTTATCATATGGAATTTCATACAGTAAGGATGCATACGAGTAAGATATAACCTTAAATTATGTAAACAATTTCTATATGACTTCAGTTTGAATAAATTTAATTATAAATTTACTTGTATAATTTAAATAATTTGACTGTATCATTGGGATAATATAAAAAATTATATTTTTAGAACTGAACAGTTGATGCGACAATTTTGTGAAAGTGCATCACAGTATGGTGATGCCCCATGTCCAACAAATAAAAAACATCGTCATGTAACTATTATTTTAAATCCAAATGCTAAAAAAGGGTTTGTATATATTTCATTTATAAATTAAATTGTACATAATAATTAAATCATTAATGATTATAATTATATATAGGAAAGCAAAAAAATTGTTTACAAATTATTGCGAGCCATTATTGCATTTAGCTGGAATAGCTGTGTCTGTGATACAAACTGAATCTGATAATGAGGCACGAAGAATTGTAATGAATTTAGAAACACATACCGATGCCATTATAGTGGCAGGAGGAGATGGTACATTGTCTGATGTTTTAACAGGATTAGTAAGAAAATATAATTCCAATATTAATTCAGTTAAACAGTGTCCTATTGGTATTTTACCATTGGGAGAAACAAACAGAATCGCAAAATCCTTGTATCATGAGTATGATAATTTGTCTGATGTAAGGCAGTTAATAGAAGCAACAATGGCAATTATTGATGAGAAATCTAAAATGATGGATATGATCGAGGTTAAACCTATTGAAGTATGTTTGAATTATACACAATAAGTTCCTACTTTTTTATCTTTATATTGGCTATATCCATTATCTCATAATTGAAGGAAAATTCTGAAGAACCAGTAAAACCAATTTATGCTATGGGAACAATTGAGTGGGGTGCATGGAAAGATGCACATGTTTTTGCTAAAAAATATTGGTACTGGGGACCTTTAAAGAAGTGTGTAGTCTCTTACATTCTTTAATAGTTTTTCGTAAATATTTTTTTTATAGTTATATTAAACTTGTCACAGATATGCAACTTATGTATTTAATGGGTGGAAAGGAAATTTGAACTGGAATTGTGATGTAACAATGAAATATACAGATCCTTGCGAAGGTTGTTCTAATTGTTATCAAAGAAATACTTCATTAAATGAATTTTCTAATACAAACAAAAGGTGGTGGCATGCCTTTGTTCCAAGAAAAAGTGCTACTACAAGTAAGTTCAGATATATTTGAAATCATGACAAAATGTTTGAAATATATATGAAGGTCAATATAAATTTTAATATGTTACCTCATAATATTAATATATTTTCTAGAGTATGTTGATTACAGTAATATAATAAATGAAAACTGTGGCAATCTTCATGAATTATCTATATCGACAAATGAATTGCATATAGAAACATCTAATATAGATAAATTGCAATCTTTTTCTTCACCATCGTCTTTAAAAGTGAAAAAAGGTAATTAGAGAAAATCGTATGTAAGAGAATACAAATTATATTTGTAGAAATAATCATGATTTTATGTAATATAGGTCCAAAAGATATTGGCTATTTTTCTTTTGTACTCGAAGGTTGGAAACAAGAAAATGATAATAAACAACTGTATGAACAAGTAATAGAAGCAAAGGACATCGAATTAACTCCACAAGAGGTAAATGTTTAATAACTCACAAATTTTCGAAGTTGATGTTATTTTATTATATTTTTATATATCAATCCATTTGTAGATCACCAGAGAAAACACACTGTACATTGACAATGAAGAATACGAAATGAAAACAGTTAGGATTAAATTGCTTCCACGGACAGTAAAAGTATTTTGTCCTCAATTGGACAGTTAATAGAAACTGTGTATGATATAAATAAAATTCAAGAACTATTTATTGTGAATTTTGAGATCTATACATTCTCAATCCTTTATCCTGTCTAACATCAAACAAAATATTAAATATTGGTAAAAAACTAGAATTCTTTTTTATTTTAATTATATATTTTTATAAAAATAATTTATTATTGCATACAAAAGGTACATTATACTATCGTCATCAATACATGACAGTTGAGTATATACTCTATTTTTACATACTTTATAATACTCATGGTTATGTTGAATACCACTTACCTTACATTATGGAATTCATTTTAGATGCTTTAAATTTTGATTTTGTATAAGGTACCATACAATAAACAATATAAAGCGCACGTTGAAATTCATCTCTCGTTCAATGATCATCGCTTCGAATGTAATCTTGTACTACTTTATAAAATATGCGTTTCTAACAATGTGTGTACAATTCGGTTAGATGCAACGTGCATCGCTACTTCTAAGATTTTGTAGAAGGTATTACATTAGTATCGTCACAACACACATTAGTTTCACAATCCTTTGTAAGTTTAAAGAAGTCTAATAGAGAGGGAGCTGAACTTTTAGATGTTTTAGATACTTTCTGTGGTTCTGTTGATCGTGATCTGCTATGTCTTCTAACGGGTGTTGGATGAGAACCAGGGCTAGATAATTTTTCTGCAACTGTTTTCTCTCCCTTTCGTTCATACTTTTCTCTTCGTATTCTTGTTAACCAATCAATATTTTCTTTGTACTTTTCCGGAGATAATTGAAGTAAATGTGGGGCTGTACCGTCGATCACAAAATTTGGCAGATTTAATGTAGGCGAGAAGAGAATTGCGCTACTTTTGTTTTCTGTAGTGATTGAACTTGTGCTTGGTTCATCTGATTCGTAGCCTCTATTTAAGAATGAAGTATTATCATTACTTGGGCTAAATAACCTTCGCGCGCCACGATTTTCAAGGTGAACCCGTTTCGCGATAAATTCACGATTCTCTCGTATAGGTGACAAAACAGACTTAAATTTCCCATCAGACCATGATCCCATCATTTGACAATAACTTCTTTTCAGTGAACTGCTCAAGTTATACTGACTATGAGTATCTTCAGATCGCTTATAAGAATCCAATGAATTGGGTCTAGATGTAGCATCTAATAACAAATAATAACGTTTATAGTGGTATACTATATATGATAAAATATAATATCTGTACGATTTCATGATCACATACTTGGTGTGGTATCAGAACCTGTTCCCGGTGTATGTTCCTGAGATACAACCCAGCGTCGAGTTACAGTTGGTGTAGTTTCTAATTTCAAATTTTCTAACGGGTTTTTATTAAGTACAACTTCCGCATGTCCACGTATTTGTACTTCCTCGTTGTCTATTTTATGTTCATTACCTACCCTCCAAATTCTATGGCACGAATCATCGGAACACGTTACTATCTATAAATGTTTAAAGACATTAAATATTAAATATATTAAGGATTAACGTAGATCTTTGTAAATACCTTAGTCTCTCCAACACTACACCATGCAATGCAAGTAACTTCTTCCGTATGTCCAGAAAGTTGCACTATTGGCGCTCCTGGTTTATTGGTATGCCAAATATATGCAAGTTCATCACTAGAACCACTAGCTAAATAACGTCCATCAGGACTTAAACAAGTCTTGACGTAATATGTACAATTTTGATGTCCATAAAATTCTGCAACTAATATTTAAAGACAGTAAATACACTAATTTATATGATTTAATATCAATTATATTTTGTTATACTTACTGGGTTTAGGATTATATGACGATATATTATATGCATATATAATGTTATCCATACAACTTGCATACAATGTAATTCTGGCAGGGCAAATTAACAGTGACGAAAATCCATTTCTGGTACTATGTCCAGTATAGTTCATTGTATGTTTAGCTACAGGTTCCTTTTTGTGTACAGTATAATTCTTACGCAAGTCCCACACTTTTATTAAACTATAATATTAGTAATATTGATTCATATTATTCTGCCCATATGTATAATATTCATTAATATAAATAAACTTACCCATCACCAGCTGCACACGACAGTAAGGTGACATCATCTTGAAATGCCAAACTAGTAATACTTTGTGCCCTTGATGCATGGCTAACTACTCTACGTTGTCGCGTATTGCCTGTGTTTCCAACATTATGGGCATTTGAAATACAATTATCTGGTTTACGATGTTCGCAATGGTTGGCTCTGATATCCCATACCATTATAGAACCATCTCTAGCTCCAGTTGCAAACACAGCTAACATATTTTGATAAATTAAATTTTAATTTTTAGTAATGCTTAAGAAACACTATTTAACATAAACATCATTAAATATGTTAAACATTGTAAGTATACCTTGATCTTGATAACGAAATACTGCAGTTTTAACGCATCTTGTATGAGCATGAAAATAATCAATTTGTTTTATTTGAGAACCAGATACATCCCATAATCTAGCAGTGTGATCTCCAGATGCTGTAACCAATTTTAAATCACCAGGCATCCAAGCAACATCAAATATCGCATTGCAATGTGCCTGAAACATTACAATTTATTTAAAAAATCTTTGTTTACACATAGTTAATGATACATCTTATTTAAATATATCTTCTCTTCAAAACTTAACCTACTAAATGCATTTACTTCACTAGCATTTTAAATTTGTTGCATTTCAATATTGTTAAGTGGTACTACCTGAGTTCCTTCCAATGGTTGATTGGATACCTCTTTAATACTTGTATCTTGCAGAGCAATTTTCCCATCTTCATTTGCTAAAGCAATTATCTGTTCATACCCTTGTGTAATACAAAATCGACACGCAAAAACTGGTGGTTCTGGATTAAAATCGAGCGCATTTATGTTTGGCGTTATACCACGGTAAACGTCATCTTGATAACACTTTAAACGATACAGAGCAATATCGTAATCACGAATCGATGCTGAAAATAGAAAAATCCGTTAGTATTACAATACACTTGTCAGTTTTAACAATCAATATTCCACGTTAAATGCAAAAGTATCATCCTGAACGTTATAATAATCTCCGACGCTATATTCGGTTACATATAACCTGTTACTCTATTTCAATAATTTGCTTAAATTTCTCGTAATATGAAAGCTTTAAAAATGAATTACCCAATCCTTTCTCACGTTCCACAATGGAGCGCGTTAAACTCATTCTGAAGCTGCATTAAACTAATATTTTGTTATACAATAATGTGAATCGTTCATACACACGAGATTGTACGCGGGAAAATCTGTCAGTTTGCGCGTACTTAAACTGGGCTGCTTTCTATATGACATCATAATATTACCATAGAGTATTCTCAAGACTTCAAAGGAATGTAATGTTATTTATTGCTCGAGTAGGAACTGCTAACACTAATCACCAGAGGGCTGATCCATCAAGTCCCTTTCTCACAAGTGATTAATTGAGTCATACACAATAATTATAAACAGATTGAGAATACAACTAAAATGTTGGAGGACAAGGCACACAATTATGTACAATTGTTATGTCAATAATTGTCACGTTATAATTCAACTTTTATATCATGATTACACTACTATTTTGCTATATATTGTACTGGTATAATAATTTTATTGTAGTGTTCAGTAGTGTTGTACTAGCTGTATGTAATGTTATAATTGTTTTGGAAATATTAAAGTGTCACAATTATTTTATCGTAAAATTTCTAATAAATTTCTAAAATAAAACGATTCTTTTGTAATATTTTGAATATTCATTAAATACTCCCACCGAAAGTCTCATATCTCGTATCAGTCAGTTCCAGACAGTTCGCGACCCTCTGATCTAATTCATCGCGAACAAGTGACTTAAATTCATATAAAGAAGTCGAACTAATATAATATAGAATTCATTTATTCAATACAATTATAAAAATGCTGTCCGTTGTAAAAAATAATTTAGCAACGAAGCAAGGATTTACTAAATATGGTATGATAAAATATTTCATAATGTAAAATATTAAACTGAGTTTCTGCATGACAAATATTGCTTTTTCAATAATATGGGTACAAAGTACAGTACCCAAAGTCTCAATATGAAAGTTGTCTAATGAATAAAATAGTTTATTTAGAATAATGTATTTTTTTCATCAATGTTAACATTCATAATAAATTAAGTGAAAAGTAAATACAAAATGATGATTCTTCTTTTTAAACTAAATATAATACAAATGAGGAGAAGCAACTTGTTGATATCTTAAAGCACAAAGAGCTTGACATATGCAACATATGCAACATATGCACTATAATAGAAGTATAATTAATATATATAAATGTTCTGGAATCCTTATGCTTTAAATCTCAACAAAAAAGAAATAGCTGTCTTTCCCTGTGCATATATATAAATAAACGAAAAGTATGCATTGAAATATAATTTTCTTGAAAGTGATAATATTATATTTTTGGTATTAGATGCTGCTGTAAATTATTGGAGAGTAGTAGTAAATAAATCATATGCAACTAAAAGTAATAATGCTGCTAAGAATATAGTATTTATTGATGGTGTTAGAACACCATTCGTACAATCTGGGACAGTCTATAAAAATTTAATGGCATATGATCTTGCAAAACATTCATTGATGTAAGTCAATTTTAATACATACCATTTTGTTTACAATATTAACAAATGTCAACATTGTATCATATTATGCTTTATAAAGGGCTTTACAAAGAAAAATTGGATTTCCCAAAGAAACAGTTGAATATATAATTTATGGTACAGTAATGCAAGAAGTCAGAACTTCAAATATTGGCAGAGAAGCAGCATTAGGTGCTGGATATAACGAGCATACTCCTGCACATACAGTAACTATGGCATGCATCAGCAGTAATCAAGCGATTACAACTGGCATGGGTTTAATTGCTTGCGGTGTATATGATGTAATTGTTGCGGGTGGAGTTGAATTCATGTCAGATATACCAATTAGACATAGCCGAAAAATGCGATCTTTAATGTTACAAGCGAACAAAGCAAAAACAATTGGACAAAGATTAGGTCTTCTTGCTAGCATTAGACCAGCACATTTTGTACCAGATGTATGTCGTTTCTTATAGCAAAATTATATTTAAAAAACATTTATGTATTATATTTCATCAACATTATATATAATTGCAGTTGCCTGCTGTAGCAGAATTTTCTAGTGGAGAGGTAATGGGTCACAGTAGTGATCGATTATCAGCAGCATTTAATATATCAAGAAAAGAGCAGGATGAGTATGCTTTACGTTCACATACTTTAGCTGCTAAAGCACAACAACAAGGATATTTGACAGATGTAAGCCCTTTCAAAGGTAATGTAACATTCAAGTTGCAGTCATAGAAATTAGTTGATTAATCCTAATATCGTTTTCAGTTCCAAATGTGGACCAAGTGGTAGATAAAGATAATGGAATCCGTGTTTCTACAATTGAACAGTTAGGAAAATTAAAACCAGCATTTGTTAAACCATATGGAAGTGTAACTGCAGCTAATGCTTCCTTTTTAACTGATGGTGCATCTGCAGCTTTGATAATGACAGAGGAAAAAGCTCTTCAGCTTGGACTTACTCCAAAAGCATACTTAAGAAATTTCACTTATGTTTCCCAAGATCCAATTGACCAATTACTTTTAGGACCAACATATGCAATACCAAAGGTTAAAAAATATTTTATTTCGTGCTTAGTAAAAGTATTCAATATTTCATTTAATAGTTTAATGTACAGTTTTCTTTCAATTTAATGATATAATAATTTACAGGTATTACAAAAAGCTAAGTTAAATGTAAAAGATATAGGAGTATGGGAAATACACGAGGCCTTTGCTGGACAAATTTTAAGTAATTTAAAAGCAATGGATTCCGATTGGTTTGCACAAAATTACTTAGGCAGATCTGAAAAAGTAGGAGTTCCAGATCTTAATAAATGGAATGCATGGGGTGGATCTTTATCAATTGGACATCCATTTGCGGCAACGGGAGTTCGATTAGCTACACATACCGCTAATAGACTTATCAGAGAAGATCAACAATTTGGATTAATTGCAGCTTGTGCAGCTGGTGGACAGGTCAGAAAATTGTCAAAATACTATTATATCAATTAATTTCATATCCCCCCCCCCCCCCGCCCTCTCCATTTTTGTAATGTTATGTTAACAAAATTTATTTCAACAAGTATATTGTATAAATTACAGGGTGTAGGCATGCTTATGGAAAGATATCCTGGTGCTAAAGTTTGAAATATAAAAGAATAATAGCCTAGAAGATGACCAGTTACTTTGTATAAAAATAAAGTGTTTATAGAAAATAAATTATATAACAAATAAATGTATTTTCCAGAAGAACTATAATTTTTTTAAAGAAGCTTTTGTATAAAATTTTGTATGAAAAGGTTTAAATATATAGTTTGTAATATTACATTCCTGTGTACAATTTTTCTATCTTAATTCCTAATCTAATGTAACATGAAACAGAGAAGGAAGAGATTGTTCTGTTAAATAATGTCTAACAGCACGATCTAACATAACTGTTATATCTTGGCATCCATATAATACCCGTGCTTTCAAGGATTCAAGATGTGATAAATGTAATCTTTGTCCTGCTCCTTGTGCTACTACTATTAAGCCATCTTTTGATACAGTATTACTAACTGGTAATGCAACGACAGATAGAGTAACACCAGGAGCACATTCTTCAACATAATTTGCATCTAATACTCCTGTTCCTAATGATTTATCTTCATCTTCCAGAGATGGTATATTGATTAATGTTACAGTGCAGCCTACAGCATAGTTCTACAAAACAAAAATAATTAAAGTTAAACAATTTTTCAATTTTTAGTGTGTCATACCTTGATAGGAATTCCAGCATCAATCAATGCAAGTGTGGCTGCATTTACAGATGCACAGTAATCACTTCCATCAACTTGCAGCACTTCTACATAAATGTCTATTTGTGACCGTGGATACAATTCTAAATGTATTATTGCTTCCATAGCGTGCCTTAACTGAAGTGATCTTTCTTGTGATTTTCGATCACCCCTTGGTTTTCGTTTGCGTTCCCCAGAAGATAAACTGAATACTGCCATGCTATATTGACAATTGACTATACCTTTGGTAACCTTACTTGTACTCCTTCCCACAGAACCTCGTGGCTATATAATTTTAATTGTAATACATGAATATTTTTCAACATCAGTTTTCAAACTTCTTTTATACAGTATTTTTAAGAAAATTAAATAATAACCTGATGCGGTCCATACACTGTAGCCAGGACTTTAGTATTACCATGCTCAATATAAGAACTACCATCAGCTTGACCGAAAACCCCCATTTTTACTCGAATTTGTCTTAATTCTAATGCGCGTCTACCGTCTGAACGCAATCCATTTTGATCTTCGATATTTTCGACTTCAATCATTTTTTACAAAATGTTTCATGTATAAATGCACAGTAAAGAACATGTACGCACGTGGACGCACATAGAATCACATACGAATCACATACAAATAGTAATACCATGTGATAGAATCGAAAATAATCGAAAACACAAAACCTGTTCTCGACTCTCGAGAGTCTCGAACAGTCATGACGTCATAGGAATATCAGCGCCATTACTTACAAAATAAGCGCTACATTTGTATACAAATTAACTCGCAATAAGTACCTTTATTTTTCCTAATGGAAGAAACAGTACTTTTAAAAAAATATGTAGATATAAATAGGCGGGACAGATGTACAAACTTCTTTATTATATTACAGTTATGTATTGCAACCTAACAAAACAAGTTAATACGATTACTTTGCCTCAATCTGCATTTCTGTAGTAGACGAAACAATTTTCCCAATTCCTAATTTCTCCAATAAATCATTTTTATCTTCAAAATAGTTTTTATACCACATTATATGTTCATATTTTTCTTGAGCTGTCATATATGGATTTTTCGAAAGTCCAATGCATACTAATTCCATAAAATGTCGTATTGGACCTTTGGCAGGGCACCAATCTGTTACATGACGTTCCAAAAATACATGTTCTGAGAAATGTACATTTTGTTCCTCTTCCATTCCTACATAATACAACGATATACATTTTCATTTGTAAATATTTAATATAAGAAATAAGATGAATTTTTGTGTGAATACCTTGTTCATTGTCAATAGGAAACTTCCATATTTTTCCTTCTTCAGTCCATTGAATCATTTCTTGAAATGCATTTTCAGGATAAAGAGTTCCTAATACTTTAATTTCATATGCTTGGCATGCATCCCATGTTTCAAGTTCACAATTACTCGGGGATGGTATATTTGTTTTTTGAAAGAGTAAGGGGAAATTAAACTTTCCCCTTTTAATACTAAAACTTATATAGTAAATATTTTAATAATCAGTAGATAATTTTGAAAACTACTTAGAGAAAATATAACACCTGTGATGTTTCTCTGCTGATTTATGTTTATTTAGTAGGGTCGCAGTTACAGATTGATTTTGCTGTGTTTGTTTTGTTTCTACCTTTTGTTTATTTTGCATTTCAACATTTCTCATCTCTGTGGTTTTGTAATCATTTGCATACATCTTCGTTACTCTATATTCATCACTACTTCTATATGTATCACTCAGTTTCCTCGTATATTGTTGTTTATGGTTCCTCAATGATTTTTTCTGTTTGTTTTGTGATTCAACTTGATCTATTAATTCTTGAATATTCTTAGATCTTTCTTTTATAAACCAAAAATTATCTGCACCCCTATTTTTAAACAGAGTAATGTAAAGCGTAAATCATCAGTTTATTGTCAATATTACTTAATCATGTAAAATAAATACTATTTAATTTTAAGACATTTATATACAAACTTTGTGTAAAAAGGTTGTCTTTTGTTTTTAATATTAGATTGAGTTTCTTTGACATTGTTAGAACTTCCTTCTTTGGGAATGTTAGAGCTACCTTCTTTGGCATTGCTAGAACTACTTTCTTTTTCAATCTTAGAAAGACCTTGCAATAATGTTGAAACAATTTGGTCTCTATCTCCACCAACTGCTGTAGTCAATAATGAAGCTGCTTTGAGTACCTGTTTCTCTGTGAACAAGAATTTCTAATTTTAATTTGCATTCACTATAAACTATACTAATTAATAACAACAAATTTATCAACTTTCTCAAATGTAACCTATCAGAACAGTAAACAAAATTCCTTAAAAATCTACTTCATTTATCATAAATAACATATCATAAACTTACCTAGTTTGTGTTTTCTATCTTTTAACTTTAATTTAATGTCTACAGTGCTTGAAGGTTTGTTCTTTAAAAACAATATATATAAAGAAGGATTAATGTAGGTTTTAAATGTTTTTTTTTTTTTAAATTAAAAACGATAAAATATTTACATTTATTAAGCTATCCATAAGTTTGTTTAAGTCATCATTGTTATCAACTTCTCTTGTACCCTGCACATTTTTAGTAGATTCCTTGATTTGTTGTTTTTTTTTATTTTGAATGTCCGTATCAGAATCAGATGAATCTGATGAATCCGATGATGAATTGGAACTTAATCTAATAGTATTAAATTGAAAACTTAACCACTGATATGGTAATTTAATTTGAGTTCTAATGTTCCTAGAAATCAGTAATATTAGTTTTAACTAAAAACAATGTTTAACAGAACAATTTTTACATTTATGAAATTGCAATCATTTTTCTGTAAAGTTAAGAGATTGTCATGACTTATTAGCATTGAGCGAATGAATACTTACTTCGAAACGAGACGTATAGGCAACATTTTTTAAATATTGTATTGTTGTTACTATTATAATTAGTATTGTTACAGTGAAAACCTATAACCTATAAAATAACTTGACTGTTGCAAAGTAATTCAATCAAATAAGATTTCTTGGATTTGTTTTATCGTATTTAAATTATAGTGTTCTCATTAGGAAATTATTATAATGTAATTTTTTAATACAGATCAACGTTATTAAATTAATTATGGTTACGATGTAAATCCTATAGAAAGAGAAATTCGTACGAACTCTCAACCACTCTCAACTTACTTCAACTTAGTATAGATTGCTGTAGATCAAGAAACTTCATTGAAGTTAGTCATAAATATTACGATACTCGAGTCAATACGAGTTATTCACTTCAAAATAAGGAATCTATATAATTATATAAATGTAAATTTATCTTCCAATCAAGGAAAATAGACTAAAATAATTATTCAATATAGAATAAAATGATATTTTATATAATCTAATACATCATGTATTTAATTTTTATTTAAAAAATGCTTTATTTTACAGATTTGTAGTTTCAAAGCTAGTTTATTGCATATACATAACAGTGTAATATATCTCTCATTCTTTCCCTTGCTTTATCAGGCAAAATATCAGATTAAAAGGTTGTGAAATCCTGTGCCTGTTTATGGGATCTAATAACTTGAAACTGTGAATTTAAGATACAATTATAATTTATAAATTTACATTTACAAGGCTTATAGTATAATTTTAATATTAAAATAAACTTAGATAATAATGCTATCTCAAATTTTAATGGATTATGGTGAACTTCCAACGCTGTCAATCACTCAATAGTACTTATAAGGTAGATCAATTTAAATTTTAAAGTAATTATCAAATTTCAAATTCATGCATATTATACAGCAAACAAATTATAATCTGGCAAGAAGTTTACATCTTGTCACTCTTCTTAAAAAAAAAAAAAACAATTGACAAATCAATTAATTGATAATAATACATACACGCTGGCAGAAAACTTAAGTAAGCTGTATGCGTAATTACAAGGCGCGTTCATTATGGTATTAGTTTCTGTGTAATTAACAACTTATACTTAATATTTAATTTGTTACTGCTAGTGGGGAGATAAGTCAGTTTAATGAAAGGTACAGCAATAAATTATGTAAGTGAATAAATATATATCAAAATATATGGTCAATATGAAACAGGTCCATTCATACTGCGATAGAAAGAATTTTCTTCGTTGGACACATATAACTTTGGCTCTCTTTGCTTGCCAGGGTAATAAAAAATGTCAAATGTGTGTATGAGATATCAATCAAGACGAAGATAAATCGAGCATTATGTTTGGATCTTCTAACACCGGCAATGGTAGCTCATTTTTTTCTTCTTCAATTCTGGCATCCGACATCTTTAGGAACTTAATTACCTTTTCAGTAGCAGCAATTCCACAGCTACTTACTTCATTCTGTAATAAATTATTTGTATCGTTAGAAACGATCAAATATATTGATAATTGATAAGGTTTCATAAAAAAAAGTCAAAAGTATTTACCGATGCCGTTAAATTCATGAAATTGAAAAATTTCTGAAGTACAGACACCATAGTAGTAAAATTGTTGTCTGGAAGTCTGCTGCGTACCAGCGATTCATAATCCTAGAAATTCATATAAATAATTTTAATATTTCATGCTGATGTATCATACTTATGATACATTCATATTGTTCTGTTCCTCTAATGTTGATTGGTTTAAAATTTATTACCTTATTATCCATTATTAAGTAACCAAGTAATAGCACTACATATGCACCTATTAAAGTGTGTTCCATATGACGTCCTGCCTTTTGCAATACTGAAGAGAAAACAAAATTCATGAATCATGTTTTATACAATTTTCTATCGATCGAAAATAAGATTATACAAACATTTTGTAACAGTTTCTTCAATAAATTCTTCTTGAGATTTAGTTGTTGTCGATACAGTTTCTGTTTGTTCAGAATCTTTTTTACCATCTAAAATAGCATCCGTCTTTTGTTCCTCAGCACGAGCCAATTCTTCTTGTTTGTAAAAAAGATCGATTAAAGATTCCACACCACTTTGCTCAGCTATTTTGAAAAAAAATGTAAGATAAGTATAATTAAATTTTGGTCTTCCCGAAAATGTGTAATTTAAAATATATAATGTATTTACCATCAAAAATATTTTCTGTTGACGAGGGAGCTTTAGATTCGATGAGAAGCTGCTTATTATCATCACATTGTTCTACTAAGTTTATCAATAGAATCAAAGCTAACATCATCATATCAAAACGCTTTTCTTCGGGAAGTGACTCCGGTACGCGTAACAAAAGATATAGAGTACAATCTAAGACACCTGGTTGCGTGCCTACTGATTTACTTCCAAAAGCTGAAATAATTATAATGTATGTTATTTTATAATGTAAAGACCATACTCTCAACAACAGTTTGTTAAAGATACGACATCATAAAATCTTACATTGTCTATTGAATCGATGTGTAAGATTGATAAGAACTTTAATAATAGCAAATAGGCACTCTCTAATAACAGCACCAATAGAAGTTTTATCACTTGGATCTATAGTTGGATAAATAGGAATTTCTTGTCCACAAAGATGATACAAGTTTGCTAAAGTGTTGACTAAAATTCCATTCTCATATTTTAATAAATATACTTGATTTTCTTCGTTCATGTGGGTAACCTAAGATAACATAATACTTTAATAATATTTTTTTATTATTGATGTTATGTATCTGTACTATTTCATATAAATATTTATAACTCACATTTTCTAATACACGTAGACATCTATCAACTTTACGTAATTTGTCTAATAATGGATCTGACCAACCAGATCGTCTAATATCTTGCATATTAATATGATAGTGACAATCTCTGATAGTTTTTATAATGTGTTCTAAACCTCCCAATTCTCTAAGTTCTTCTTTAAACCATTCACCAGCACGTTTCGATGTGAGACTTAGAAGTGTCTCCATAGCAAGTTGACCAACCTAATTGAAAATAATTCGTTAGTGGTCATATTTATCATTTATCATTATAAATAAAACACTTACAGTTATATTATCGAGATTTAAATGTTTTGCATGTCCTTGAGCTTGAATGTCAGCACACAATTGACGTACTTTTTCTTTATTTTTTAACAGTTCTGCCCGACTAAGGCCACAATCATCAAGCGCATCTTTATGACTGGCATCAGATTCTAATAAACTTAACATTAACTCCAAACAATCACGGTCTAAATCCATAGCTAAACGATCTTGACTTAATACAAACATTACTGTTGCTGTACACAAAGCAAGACTCTGGAAAAAAAATATATATTTCAAGATCAAAATTGGTAAAATTTATGCATAGCATATTCTATAAAAATAATGTTATATACCTGGTCCTTAGTTGCATCATGGAGTGCTTTGAAGAATTTAGCAACAGTTCCATGAGCACGCACATGCATGCGAAATGCGGGTGCCATACATTTGCTTGCTAATCGTATAGCTGAAAGGCAACGAGTAGCATTTGGATTGTTTTCTCTTAGAGTGTCTAATATATATTCAACATCATCATTAAATTCTTGAAATTCTCCACTCTCTTGGATTTGATGAGCTTTCTTCACATTTTTTACTACGGTGTAGAACTATAAAATAAATATTAATTTGGTATCATACTTTGTATAAATATATAGGTTTATATACAGTGAGTCACAAAAATATTCATACTTGCTCAAATACTGATATGTTTTAAAAGAAATATAAAATCGTTATTAATAAAAAAACGTACATTGTATTAATTAACAAAAGTAGGAATGTACTACAGTAAGAAATGTAGGAAAGTACTACACTATATAAAAAAAGTGTAATAAGTGGCACTGTAGGATACAAGTTTGTTTTCTAATATACATACTCCTTTAACTTTCTTGCCACAACGAATGCTTGTTATAGCATCTGATTCATCTTCAAAACCTGCGTCAGCTTCAGGGTATGTTACAACTCTCGTTAATTGCGAAGGACCAAATTCTTCTTCATATGCTACAGGTCCTGTATTACTGTGAGATCCTGAAGCAATAGTTGGTGTAGAATTACCAGCATTAGGAGTATCCGTAGCATTAGATTCTTTATCACTATCACACCACTTATGTTTGTACAATGCCCGTCTTTTATTTCCATTTGTCGCCCCCGTTGAACGACTTTTAAAAATACTACCCTTTTTAGTAGCCGGTTTCTGAACAGTTGTGGATGGAACATTTGCTGGCTGTGATTCAGAGACTGTACTTGTTACATGCAATGCAATATCAATTTCTATGTTGCCACTAACACCTTCACTATCGTCACTTCCAGAGAACCAATCTTGGTCAACTAAGATTTTAGCTGTTGCTATATCATTATCATTTGCACGAGCTGGTTGTTCTGCTTCTACTTCTGGTTCAGGATCGGGATCAGGATCAGGTTCAGGTTCAGGTTCAGGTTCAGGTTCAGGTTCAGGTTCAGGTTCAGGTTCAAACTCAGGTTCAATTTCAGGTTCATGTTCAACTTCCGCTTCTTGCTCTGATTCTAGTGCTGTTTTTAATTCTGGTTCTAGTTCTGGTTTTGGTTCAGGTCCTGATTCAGGTTGCAAAGTAGATTTAGAGACTACTTCATTTGTTGGAATATCTATTGAACAGTGTTGAACTTGATCTGGCACTTCTGTATTTTCTTCAGTTTCTGGTGCATTTATCATCATTGGTCTTGTTTGCATAGGATCAGAATCACTTGATAATATATCAATTAGTTCTTGAGTTGTAGTAGGCAGTGGTTGATCACGGCCAATTAATGGTTCAATTGCTGGCTTACAGGTGTACGTTGAACCACAATCAGTCTTAACAATGTCATAATGAGATATTAATGTGTTATTAGAATCAGTAACAGATTTTCTAAGGGTTAATGAAAGACCAGAACTATGTGAATTAGGAGTTACCGGTTGTGTAGACACAGCAGAAGATGTTGGTATATCTAAATGCAGATTTTTTGCGCGACTGCGAGTAGTTCTTCTCATCTCTGAATTTTCTAAAGGTATTGACACGGTAGAGACAATAGGTTGGTGAGAACGAATTGTTTTTTGATCAGATTTTGACGCATCTGTATTAAAGCTCTTACGCTCGATATCTACTTTTGTAGGACTAACAAGTGGTGTGGAAATTCTATATGTTTCAGGTTCAGTGTCTTGAGTGGTTTGTACATTTCCACAAACAAGCCGAGCTGTACCTTTGCATATTCTTAATACAATAGGAGGTTTTGCTTCTTCT